CCTCGTCGGCGCCTGGGAGAGCGCGGAGACCGAAGGCCGCCGCCCCCGCTGGCCGGCAGGGCTGGTCGGGAGGAGGGCAGGGACGCACAGCGACGACGTTGACGACGACGCCGACGACGGCGAGAACACGACGGCGAGAACACGACGGCGACGGGACCACTTCGATCTGATCGATCCGATCCGACGTCGACTCTGGCCGGTCCGATCCGCCTCGATGCCGTTGTCCGAAAAGGGCGCCTTCCAAGTGTCTAGGCCTCCCAGATGTGGCTCGGAGCAGGTGGGGTCGGAGGATCGCGCCGCATCGCCGATGCATCGCCGATGCAGCTCGATCTGGAACCCGATTTGCTCCACGCGGACATCGCCGATGCATCGGCGATGCATTCCGACCCCGTCTACTCGGCCCCATCTAGGAGGCCTCAAATATAGAATGCTGTTCGCCTCAACTGCCAGACCTTCACCGTCTATTGTGTGATGTTGGTTACGATGACAATTAAACCACGATTATGATTTTGCGACTTCTTCTTCTTCTTCTTCTGCCTCGCCACGTGTACTGCGATCAAGGGCACGAAGCACTTATCGAACTGGCGCCTTCTGAGCACGCTGGGAGGAAGGCAGGGGGGGGGCTGCGACCAGCCCTCGGAAGAGTCCCCAGGGGAGCGGGGAAGGGAGGGAGGCGGGGGCGGGCACCACCTGCTCGAAAGCCAGTGGAGGCTCGAAGCACCCGCCCCAGCGCTGGCAAAGGGCAACGACGACGACGACGACGACCACGACGACAACCACGACGACGACAACAAGGACGACGACGACGACGACGACGGCGATTTTTTTGTGCCACAGGGTCGACGACACTGCTGGCCAAGGCTGGGCCCAGACAGGGGCAGCCTCGGCGCACAGCGCTCAGCACCCCTGGTTCCTCTCTTCCTCGTTGAACTGCTTCGCCAGCGCGCTGGTGCCTGGACCACGACCACGACGACGACCACGACGACGACCACGACGACAACGGGTCCTGCCCGCCTGCCCCGGCTCTGGCAAACGACGACGACGGAGACAGCGACGACGACAGACGACGACGACGACGGAGACAACGACGACAACGACGACATGTCCCTCCCACCCGCCCGACCAACTCACCCACGACGACGACGTGTCCCGCCTGCTCGACCGACTCGTCGACGACGACGACGACGACGACGACGTCGATCACGTGCCCCGGCGGACCGCCGGGCTCGCCGACGACGACGACGACGACGACGACGAAGACGACGACGACGGCGACCACGGCGACGGCGACGGTGACGGCGATGGCGATGTCTGCCAGCGGCGGGGGAGGGTCCTCGCCGTGGAGGGGAGAGAGCCAGAGCTCCAGAGGGTTGAGAGCAGGGGCAGGGGGTCCCAGCTGCAGCACGGGCATGCCCCTTTGCAGGAGGAGTGCTCCCGAAGAGTCCGAAGAGAGTCCAGTGGCGACTTGTCGTGCTCCTTTTGACTAGTCGTGCGGACGTTTTGCAATATGTATGAGTACCGAGCCTCAGTTTCCGGGGAGGGGCGGGCATCCTGACACCAGCGCAGCGTACACCGATGTCGCCCCCTCCGATTCTCCGACGACTCAGTGCGGCCCCGTTTTTGCATGGCGATGTTCTGCACCCTGGCGCGGCCGATCCGCTTCGATCTCGACCCCGTGTCGGTGCAGCCCGCCGATCCGACCATTTCGATTCGCTACGATCTCCCCTCCATCCTCCATCCTCTTCCTCTTCCTTCTCCTTCTCCTCCTCCTCCTCCTCCTCGCCCTCCTCCTCCTCCTCCTCCTCCTCCTGCCCCGTTTCGATGTTGACTGATCTTGGGAAGGAGGGTGAAGAGGAGAAGGTGGAGGAAGAAAGGAGGTCACCTGGTTGATGTGTCATTGGATTGTCCAGTTTCGCTGGCCTGGTGGTGGTGGTGCTGCTCCCTTGCAGGCTGGTTGTGCTTGCGCAGCTCCTGGTTTGTGTTACCTCCCCAGGCTTGGTTATGCTTGCGCAGTTCCTGGTGTATCCTGCACATGTCTGAGAATTTCTGATTGCCTGCCATATGGTCACAGTCGTCGTGGTGTTCCTTCGTGCACTTCAGCCCGTCGCTTTGGGATCCCAGCGTTCAGGTGATTCCCTGATCATGTCGAAGCGTTGTCAGACGTCCGTTGAGAGCGAGAAATGGGCGGCGAGGGGGCAACAGGCAGAAGAGGAGGAGATGGGGAGGGCAGGGAGAGGAGGATCGTGCCTTCCCCACCCTGCCGAGGGATCTCCAGGGGCGTGCGCATCGTCCCGACTTGCCCCTCGGGGCCAGAGCTGCAGTCCCCCAAGACATGACCTTCGGCCCCTCCCGCCACCGTGCCTGGGCTGTGGGTGTGAAACGTATTGGACGTTGGCTGGGATCTCGCGGGAGGACTCGGGGGCCTCTTGGAGGCAGTTTGGGGGCCTTTGGGAGGCCGCGTCGGAGCTTCTTGGGGCCTCTGTTGGGCCTCTTGGGGGCCTCTTGGGGGCCTCTTGGGGCCTCTTGGGGGCCTCTTGGGGGCCTCTTGGGGCCTCTTGGGGCCTCTTGGAGGGCCTCGTGGGGGCCTCTTGGGGCCTCTTGGGGGCCTCTTGGGGCCTCTTGGAGGGCCTCGTGGCGCCTCCTGGGCGCCTCTTGGGGGCTCTTGGTGGGCCTCGTGGGCGGAGGGCTCGGATTTTCCGTTGGGGTTCCTCTCTTGGCCCCCTTTTTTGGCCTCCTCCTCCTCCTCCTCCTCCTCCTCCTCCTCCTCCTCCCCCTTCTCCCCCTCCTACTCCCTCCTCCTCCATTCCTTTTCCTTCCCCTTCCCCTCCTCCTCCTCCATTCCCTCCCCCTCCTCCTCCCTCCCCCTTCCCCTTCCCCTTCCTCCTCCTCCTCCTCCTTCTCCTCCTCCTCCTGGGGGGTCTGTCTTTGGCCCTTCTTGGGCCGTGTTGGTGGTCTTGGAGGCTGCTTGGGCAGTTGGGAAGCCGAAAAGGCGACATCACCAAAATCTTAAAAAAAGCTAAGGAAGTGTGCCTCTTGGGGCTCTCTTGGGAGGCCTCTTGGGCCGTCTTGGAGATCTCTTGGGCCGTTGTCAGGCCATCGTGGGCGTCTTGGGCAAATTTCTGGCCCTCTTGGACCGTCTTGGAGGCCGCTTGGGGCCCTCATGGCCCGTCTTGGGGCCCCCTTGGGCCCGGAAAAGTAATGCGACAACACCTTCCGGAGCCCAGGGGCACGCGGGAAGCCCTGGCAGAGTTGAGAATTTTGGGTCTGGGCTTCTTAAAGACTCCTCAGGACAGGACTGAGGCTCCATGGGGTTGGGCAAAGGACCTGAGGACACGCCCACTCAGCGCCCCGGAGGCACCGTGGAGGATTTCTGTTGTTCTCGCTTCATCTGTCTTTGCGGTGCAGGGCCAGTCCGGCCAACCTGGTTGCATTATTTGCGCGGGATTCGTTCCACTAATCTGTCCCGCCTGACCTTGCGGTGCGTCGGGTCGCCATGACGGCTCGGCTCAGGAGAGTGCGCGAGATGTTGCTCGCTCCCCACATGGCCGCGTCGTCACTGGCTAGCAAACATGCCCCACATCCGAAGACTCGCGAATCGCTCGACGCTGGCGGTGCCACTTTAAGGGGCGCGGTGGTCGGTCCCGTGGGCCACGCCAGAATCAGGAGGCGAATCGGCTACCCTCTGCTCATGAGCTGATGCGATTTTGCCGAAGCCTGTTGCCCCTACCTCACTGGCTGTATTCCAGTGGCGTTCAGGAAGTCTCGCAACATGAGAACATTATTACAACAAAAATATGTTCGCAGCACGTTGCTTATGTTGCCTCTGATACATTGCCTGCGCGGCTTGGTGATCTTGGGTATCTGAACTTTGCCCTCAACGTCGTCGCCGTCGTCGCCATCAACCCTCGAGCACCACCGCCGCCCGAACAGAATCCTGGTGGATGTGGGGATGGGGGTGGGACTCTGCTTGCGACTTGGCCTTGCGCTTGTAACGTGGCGTTCCAGAAGGAGCGGTGCACTCGCTGTGCTGGCATAGCTCCAGCTTAATCGTGAGCTCGCTGGACAGCGAGTTTGTATTGCCCCTCCCGGCTGGGCCCTCTTCCTGCAAGAGCACCCCGTTCCCTGCCATCAGGCGCTCAATGGCCGTCTTGTAGTTTCGCCGAGTCGCCACCACCCCCCTGGATCCGAGCGAGGTCGACGGATGATCGGAGGCCACTCGAGGGATCGAGGGGTCGAGTGCTCGAGTGCTCGAGGACTCGAGGCCCCTCCATGGTCCAGGGGGTTGCCTCCTCCTCCTCCTCTTCCTCCTTCTCCTACTCCTCCTCGTCCTCCTCCTCCTCCTCCTCCTCCTCCTCCTCCTCGTCCTCCTCCTCCTCCTCCTCCTCCTCCTCCTCCTCCTCCTCCTCCTCCTCTCCTCCTCCTCCTCCTCACTCCTCCTCCTCCTCCTCCTCCCCCTCCCCCTCCTCCCCCTCCTCCCCCTCCTCCTCGGGAGCCGCGGCACCAGGCAGGCGGACTCTGCCCCTCAGGCGGAGCGCGGCACCCGCCGAGGCAGTTCTGGCCCGAGGCCGCCCCGGCTCCACTGCCTCGGCCCGCGCGCTTCGGGCCAGCCCCCACGGCGCTCCCCGAGGCGCGGCTGTCAGAACGACGGTGACCGGGTTGGGGGGAGCGGGTTGGGAGAAAGGATCCATCCTCCGTATGATCGCGCATGCCGAGTGTGTTGATTGCATCGTCGCGCCCTGCATCTTCCCAGCCCCCTCTTCCCAACAGGATACCTGGTGCGTTCTCAGACTGCGGCGCCCCTCACGAGCGGCGAACATACCCGTGTCCGTGCCCTCGCGGTCTGGATTCCAGGGCGCGGTCTTGCGGACGAGCGGTCGCGCGGAGACGTTCCGCGCGAGCGGAGGCGCCCCGTGTCCGCGGGATCGCGGCCCAGGCGCCTGGCCCGCGAGGCCGCGGACGCGGACATGTTTTTCGCCCCCCAATCCCCCTGCGAGAGGGCCATGGCCGACAGGCCTCCCGACGCGGCCGTGCTGGCTCCGCGCGGCAGCACGGAGGCCCCGACAACACGTAAGGGTGACCCTTCGCCGGGTGTTGTCTTCTGGGTAGGTCGTCCTGTCGTCCTGAAGCAGCACGGGTTGTCCTGGCTGTCCAGGGGGTCATCCAAGGATTTGTTGTCGATTGGATGATTCCCCCATTGAACATACAGTCAACCCGCATGGCAAGGGTGGGCAACCTTCCCAAGGGTACCCTTGCATCCTTCCCTCCTCGGTCCATCCTTGGCCACGTTCGTTGGCCGCGCACCCTTACCGCACATCCTTACGATACGGGCTGGCTGCAGGCAGTCAGCTCTTGCGTGCCGGCGAAGGCTCCTCCGCCCTCGTATTGCGACCTCTAGGGGAACGAAAAATGGCATAAGCATATAAAAATTCGGAGGTCCGCGCGGATTTCTCGGATCCGCGCTGTGGCCCCCTGGCGGCGCCTCCGGCGCCGCCCCTGGCGCGCTCCGCGCGCCAGGACTGGGGGGTCCAGCGCCGATCCGAGCAATCCGCGCGGACCCTCGACGGTTTTTGTGGTCATGTTTTCTGTTGCCTCTCTCTCTCTCTCTATCTCTCTATACAGTCGGCCCGGATTAGTAGGTCGACCCTGCCAGCTCAAGGGTAACTTTGTGTCCTGTGCCTCGCGACACGTGCCTCCTTACACTCCCCTTGTATGGTAATGTTTTTGTTGTTGCTTCTTCTCTCTTTCCCTTTCTCTATCGGGCGAAGAGAACCATGCACGTGCACCGATCTTGGCAAGGCTGCGGCAAGGCCCATCCTCGACCCAGGATCGGTGCATATGCCTTCCTGGCCCAGGCAGGAGGGCGTATGCACCGATCCTGGGCTCAGGATGGGCTTGGCCAGATCGGGCCTTTTTTTTGTTTTGTTTTTTTGTTTGTTTTTTTGCAAACTTTTTTTTTTTTTTTTTTTTTTTTTTGTTTTTTTGTTGTTTTGATTGTTTTTTTCTCGTTTTTTTTTTTGCAATTCCCCCCATCCCTCTAGAAGTCAGCTCTCGCGGGCCGGCGAAGGCCCCCCCGCCCGCGGACTGCGACCTCGGGCCCCTGCTGGAGCGGGCCCGGGCGGCGCACGAGCGGGAGGTCGGGCGCCTGCGCGAGGAGGTGCGCCGGCTGCGGGCGGAGCTCGCGGGCGCCGCCCGCGGCGAGCGCGCGGCGCCGCCGCGGGCGCGCGGCGAGCCGAGGCCGTGCCCGAGCGAGCCGTCGCCGAGGACGGCGGGGAGCAGCAGGGGCAAACGTGGCGTCGGGCGCGTCCCTCTGCAGGAGGAGTACCCGGAGATAGCCAGGAGTAGTATGAGCAAAGTAGTCAGGGGACGTTTGTTCTGCCCCTCCCACATCCGCCTGTAGGGGGACACGCCCGACCGAAGGCAAACGCTGGGGTGGGGTGGGGGGGGCGAAGTTCCGAGGTACGTGTTCGGACGTTTTCGGGAGCAGCTCTCGGCGGTCTCCCAGCTTCGCGAGGCGCTCCAGCAGCTGCGCTTCGCCGAGGGCGTTCCGGGGGTGCCCGGATCGTCCCGAACGGCCCCTGGAGGCGCGATCCGTGGCCCGAAGACAGTTCGGGGATCGAGGACCAGAGGTTTCGGGGGCAACGCTCCAAGGGGATCTGAGCAGGGGGGAGTCATCGACCCCCCCAGTCGCCGACAGGAATGTTCGTATTTGCGATCGGGGGCCCGTTGACGTATGGCCGATTCCAGATCAATGCTTCCCCCTTGCGCAAGTCCACCCCCCCAACGTTCCTTTCGGAGCAAACGCCACCTGGACCTGGAACCCACATTCGCTTTGGGCTGTCCTGTCTGGTCACGCCCATCAGAGAACAAAAAAACGGCATGAACATACAGTCAACCCGCATAGTAAGGATGGGCTATCTTTCCCAGGGGTGCCCTTGCATCCTTGCCTCCCCGGTCCATCCTCAGCGAATCTCGCTGGCCAACCTCGTTCGAAACACGCTGACGCGGCCCTCTACGGCCCTGGCATCCTCGCTGCGCGGATTTCGGGGATCGGCGCCGGGCCCCCCGTGCGCCAGGGAGGGGGGTCCAGCGCCGATCCTAGCGTTGAGGGTCGGGCACGTCCCTCGACAGGAGGAGCAGTCCAGGATGTTCAAGCACCAGTCTTGGCTGGCGGTGCCTCGATGCTTGGCTGTCGTGCTTGGGCATCGCGCTGACTACTCCAGATTTCGTAAGAAAGGGAGGGGGGTCTCATTTCGGGGGGGGTCTCTTCCAGGCCATCTTGGAGGGCCTGAGGGGGTCTGGGACGATGTTTTGGAGGGTTCTCCCACAGGGGGGGTCTGAAATGGCTCGTCTTGGAGGGTCCAGACCCCCTCCCTTTTATTCGGGCGAAGAAAACTATGCACATGCACCGATCCTGGCAGGGCCCATCCTTGACCCAGGCTCGGTGCATACGCTTTCCTGGCCAAGGCAGGAGGGCGTATGCACTGATCCTGGGCTCAGGATGGGCCTGGCCAGAATCGGTGTATGTGTATAGTTCTCTTTCCTCTATTTATTACGAAATCTAGAGCATCTTTGGGTTTCTTCCAAAGTCCGCCTGTAGGAGGACCCGTCCGACCCACGCCTGCGGCACCTGCGCGGCGCAAGGGGGCTCCAGGCATGGCCAGACCTGGGACAGAAGAGCATCCTTCGAGAACATGCGACTCTCCTCCTCCTCTCCTCCTCCTCCTCCTTCCTCCCTGATCCTGATCCTCCTCCTCCTCCTCCTCCTCCTCCTCCTCCTCCTCATCCTCCTCCTCCTCTTCCTACTCCTCCTCTTCCTCCTCCTCCTCCTCCTCCTCTGATTCCTCCTCCTCCTCGTCCTTCTCCTGCTCGCGCACCGTGATGAGGGCGACTCTAGTTCGGACTAACGCCTGGGGGAGAAGCAGCGGGCCACGGGGTATCCTCCAGCCAGCTGGAGATGACCCTGTGGCCCGCTGCTTTTCCTCGCCTTTCAGGTGTTAGTATTTGCTGGCTTGTCCAGCCGTCCTGCCCTAATTGTCCGCGCGGCGCAGGCTTGGGCATTGCACCCTCAGGGTCAGCCCTCGCCCCCGCGTCTTTCGCCTGGCTCTGCCGCTCCTGCTTTCTCCGCGCAGATCTGGGCAGCTGGCCTGACAGCGCGGCGGGAAATGCTTTCTTCTCCCCGTGTTGAGGGCGACTCTAGTTGCTGGCTTGACCAGCCGTCCTGCCCTAATTGTCTGGGCTGGCTCTCTACCTTGATGTTGATGTCAAAAAAATCCTCGTCCTTCTCCTCCTCCTCCTCCTCCTCATCCTCATCCTCCTACAGGCGGAGCTCCGACGCGTGATGTCTCCGCGCCGGCGCTCCGGCCCGGCAGTTGCGCGGAGGCAGGCGAGCGCCGCGCGGCGCGGGCTGGGCCACGGAGGTGCCCTTCGCGGCGCGAGGGCGCGAGGGTAGCCTTAGGTCGGGCCTGTCCCCCTACAGTCGGAGCGTGAATTACCTACCCCGCTTTCGCTTCCAGGCAAAACCAAGTCACACCACGCGCCTCCTCGTCAAGCGGCCTGACCAGTACAGGCCGTAGTTTGGCATCGTTTGGTATCTCTTGGAAGCGAGGGTGGTCAAAAGCGAGGTAGGTTTGTTTTCCCCCTATACAGGGGGGTTTTCGACGAAAAATAAAAAATACCCCAAAAAATGCACCAAAAAGGTAGAACAAATATTCAAAAAGTCGTCCCCAGACTATTTTTGAACTATTTTTGGTGTATTTTTTTATGTTTCGTCGAAAATCCCCCTGTGGGGGACAGGCCCGACTTAACGGTAGCCGCACATCGCTGGGCGCGATGGTCGGAGTCGGGAGCAGAAGCACTGGACCCGGAGTCCACATTTGGGTCGGGCATGTCCCCCTCAGGCGGCTTTCGGACGAAAGATGAAAAGTGGTCAAGCACAGTGAGAAGTGGTCAAAGGTAGTGGGGAGTTCGTCCCGGTATGCTATTGTGGAGTGTTCTTCCCGCAGAGGGGCACGTCCGACTGAAATCCACATTCGCTTCGGGCTGTGGTTGAGGGGCCCTTGTCGACAACACGTAAGAGTGACCCTTCGCCAGAGTGACCTTTGATGCGGGCCCACTGGGCTCCCCCGATCGCCGAACGCGATGCGATAGTACCGTCTTGTGCGCTTGCGTTTGGTTCCCCCGCGGCTCCCCTGCCGCGCATCCAAGGTCACTCTTACCTAGGCTCACTCTTGCGTGTAGCCGACCTTCGTTTTTCATCCTTGCCTGGTAAACTCGACAACTCGAGGGCTTGATTCGTGCACTGCGCATGCGACCATCACCTCTTTGGTTCGGGATTCGGGTTGTCCAGCTGTCTGTCAGAGGAGCTCGTCGGAGGTGTGCCCTACTTTCACCGAGCGCGAGCCTGTCGAGGATCATGTGGCCGCGCCCCCGGAGGGCTCCAGGGCCAGCACGAAGAACTCGGAGCCCATGACCTACGAACCTGGTCCTTCTATGGGCCTGCGCAGGAAAGGGCGGGACACCGTGAGGGAAGAACAACTCCTTGCGGGGAGGGGCTGTGTCTGGAGACTGGTGACATCGACGTCGTTTGAAGTGACAATCGGCGTTGCCATTATCGCGAATGGAGTACTAATGGCAGCGGAGGCTCAGTACGCGGGACTCCGCTTGGCGCATGACGTTGGGCATGAAAGCGCAGATGGTGGTTCTGCACAGGAATGGCCACATGCCTCGGAGACGTTCGATATTCTACAATGGTTGTTCGGGGTAATCTTCTTGATCGAGGTCCTACTCAAGATTGTAGGCTTGCGCTTCGAATTTGTGTGCGATGCATGGAACTGGGTAGATCTGGTGATTGTGGTGATGTGGCTGTACAGTTTGATGGGCCAGCTCGCTGTCAATGCACAGTTTCTGCGGCTTGCTCGTTTGGTCCGGATGTTGCGACTCCTGCGTATTATCAGGTTCATGCAGAGTCATCTGACGGAGAGTTTATTTCTCATGTCCACCGCTCTCGCGGGCAGCATCTTTACCACAACGTGGGCATTCCTCCTATTCATCATTGTTCATGCAATGCTAGCGTTGTTCATCAGTCAGACTCTCAGCGAGTTTTACTTTGCATCGGAGCCTTCTAGGCACGAGGGGCACCTCGAAGTGTTCGAGTTCTTCGGTTCTTTCTCCCGTGCATTCCTCACAATGTTTGAGATTACTTTCGACGGTTGGTCCCTCGGTGTGAGGGCGTTAGTGGATAATGTCAGCGAAATTTTCATCATATACGCCGTGCTCCACAAAGTCCTCATTGGATTTGCCGCCGTGGGAGTCCTTGGCGCAGTTTTCATCCAGGAGACGTTCGAGTCAGCCCAAATGGATGACAATCTGGTGGTGAGACAGCAGCACCGCAAGGAGCGCCTGCATTCTAAGAATATGCAGCGACTCTTCATGGACGCTGATCTTGATGGCAACGGTTCTGTTGATCTCGGCGAGTGGCTTTCTATATGCAATGACTCGTGGGTGCAAGTCTGGCTTCGGGCCCAAGATATCGATGAGGCCTCCGGCGAGTCACCGCACCGTAGACCCCTCCCTCCTTGCGAACACGCTGATGTGGCCCGGGCAACCGGCTGCTAGGCCAGGAGCTCCCCCAGCACTTGCGGGGGGCAACTTGTCAGTTTTTTCCGCTCCTGGGCCGTCCAGGGCCCCTCGAGGCAGCCTTGGGGGACTCCTGGGGCAGTCTTGGGGGCTCTCTTTGGGCCATCTTGGGCCGTCTCGGTGCTCTCTTGGGCCGTCTTTGGCCTCTCTGGGCGCCCTGGGGCCTTCTTGGGGCTAAGAGGGTCCAAGAGGCTTCCAACAGGGCCCCAAAGATTTTCAACATGGTTGCCCCTCGACAGCCCAGTAGGCCCCCAGACATTGGAAGAAGCGCGCGAGAGGTGTCAAGGGCGGCCCCAGTGAGGAAGTGCGAGACGGCCAGAATGAGGATGCGCGAGAAGGAGCGAGGCAGAGAATGAGGAGCAGGAGGAGCAGGAGGAGGAGCGAGAAGGAGGAGGAGGAGGAGGAGGAGGAAGAGAGGTGGAGGAAGAACAAGAGAGGGATTGGATGGGGAGAAGTGAAGTGATGAGCAGCGCGTCGACTGGAACGATAATGAGGAGGGAGGAGGCGGCAGGAGGAGGACGAGTGAAGAGGATTGATGAGGAATAGTCGGGAGGAGCGCGAGGACGGAGTGAGAAGGAGGAGGAGGAGGAGGAAGAGGCGGAGGGACCATGCGATGATGAAGGGATCTGAGGAGGAGGCGCGAGGGGCAGGAGTGGGGATCGAGGGGGAGTGAGGAGGAGAATGGTGAGGATGAATGAGGGGGAAAAGGAGGAGCGTTGCGGAGAGCGAGGTGGAGGAGGAGGAGGAGGAGGAGGAGGAGGAGGAGGAGGTGCGATGCGATATCAGGCGAGGCGTGACGGCAGGAGTGACCGTGATGAGCGGCCAGGGTGTAGCAAGAGCGAAGCGGGGGAGCGAGGGGGGGAGGCGACAGCCGCAGTGTGGATCAGGCACAGTGGGGAGAGGATGTTCGAAGAGTGGGAGTGAGATGGTATTCGGTGGAGGAGGTCTGAAACAGATGGAGGAGGAGAAGGAGGATGAGGAGGATGAGGAGCAGGAGGAGGACTGAAACATGAGGAGGGGAAGGAGGAGGTGTGACGGGTGGGAGCGAGTATATAAGGTGAGGACAGGTGCAGGTTCAGGGAAGAGCGCAGACGATGGCCGATGAGAGCCAGGAGTGAGGAGCGTGGAGGAGCGGTACCTCCTGGAGAAACAAACGTCAGTGCTCAGGCGGACGACTCTTTAACAGTTGTTACGCCGGTTGGGCTTGCATCCAGAGCTGACAGCAGAGGATATCGGTCCTGTCCGCTTCGTCCCCTCTGCCTTCCTCCTTCTCCCCCCCCCAAAAAAGTGCATCAAGCAGTCGTCTGCAGCACCGCGCTGTGGCAGACAACAGCAGGCAGCAGCAGAAAATGGCAGGGGCGGACTCGCCCCACACATTGCGAGGACTTGTGTGGCCCTGCAGCGCGGACTCGTGCATCTCAGGAGGGGGAAAAACACACAGACACAATTCATCGGCGATTCCCCAGAAAACATGGGAAAATATGGGAAGTGGGGGGGAAGACAGACATCCAGAAAATATGGGAAACTATGGGGGATGCTTTTATTTGTGTGTATTTATTTGTGTGTCCCAGTTCCCCTTCAGTATCTGCAAAGATGTGTCTGCTTGGATTGGGGCCCACTTGATTTTGCAAGGGATCGTGGATGCGCGAGCTCAGGCTCCTTGAAATTCAACGAGGGGTCGTGGCCTTGCGAGCGCGGACCCATGCTATGATGCATCCCAGGGCACCCAGGTGCTCCCGAGAAGTCGTCTCGAGGGAGGCGCAATCCCGCATTGTGCCATTGGGAGTGTCGCGCACGTGCACGGTGAGGCACTTTGGCTCGGCGTGTCGCTGGGCTGGCTCCAGCCACACCGCGCGTCGGCGCGACAGGTTGCGAGTCGGTGTCCCCGTCCCCGGCCGTCGGCGTCCCGAGCATGTTCCAGCCTCCCCGCCCGCGGAGCGGAGAGGAGGAGGAGGAGGGAGGAGGAGGAGGAGGAGGAGGAGGAGGAGGAGGAGGAGGAGGAGGAGGGAGGAGGAGGAGGAGGAGGAGGAGGGAGGAGGAGGAGGAGGAGGAGGAGGAGGAGGAGGAGGAGGAGGAGGAGGAGGAGGAGGAGCCGTGACACGCTAGTCAAAGTTTCTGACCGTAGAATTTTCGAATCGAACATGGTGGGAACGTCTAACGTCTGAGATTCTGGTCCTTGACCAATGTCGGGGGCGGAAAAGAGGGGGGTGATGACTAGGAGAGGGTGGATATCATGGCGGGGGCCATGATATTTCCCCAGATTTCATGGCGCCTCTTCTTGTTTCATTACGTCCCTGGCCCCCCCGCTGGGCCGCGCACATGCCGCCGGTCATGATTTGCACCCCCCCCCTCTTGGACACCCCCCTCTTGGCCGCTCCCGGCAATGAACACAGCAGGGTCCCGCTTGCCAACTACCTAAGTTGTTAGGAGCGTGACGAGGTTGCAAAACGCCGGGCTGCAACTGCAATGCCTAAGCTGCTCAATTGTTTCAGTTTGTTCCGCGCAGCTTGGTGCCCACCTCACGGGATGCGACGGATTATGTCCAAAGATGCTAGCCTATTGTTCGAACTTCTGGATGATGGCGACGGGAAGCTCACTGCGGACGAGCTCATCCATGGCATGGCCTCGCTGAAAGGCGTGTCTGCTGTCATGCAGGTCCTGGCAACGATGAGTGGGGTGAGCAAGCGCGTCAACGAGATCAGGGCGGACATGCTTTTTACGCAGCTCCCCGTCGCGGCCGAGCGTAGCATCTGCGGTGCTGAGAGCGGCCGCGGCGGCTGACGCGCCTCATTTCCCGGCCCTACGCTTGCGCAGCGCCCACTGCGTCTGGTATTTTCTCCTTCGGGGAGGACCATCGAGGAGCATCCTCGATCATTTGGCGAAAAAGCCACGCACGAAGCCGGAAAAAACACAGGGAATGGACGTCCGAGCGATGGCCAGTTTTTGTGCATATGCACATGTGAATATGAATGCACATGCTTGTGCCAGCCAGCGTGGGCCCCGAACCGTACGCTTTTGGCAACATGTGTTGCGCAATCTCCTTGGAGATGTGTGGTGCAGTGAGCTCGGTGCAGTATATGTTGCACGCGATCTATATTGTGGAAGTTCATGTGGTGCAATATTTATATAATGATGATTATATATACACACATCTATATATGTATGTGTGGTACAACCTGTGTGGTGCACGAATTGGTGTGCAACCTATGTGGTGCTATCTATGTTGTGCACTGTATGCGGTGCAACCCATGTTTCGCAGTCCGCGCAGAGCAGTGTCTGTGGTGCAGCGCACCTGGTGCAGTCTACGCGGGGCAATGCATGCTGTGCAACCCCTGTGGGCAATCGACTGGATTGCAATCGATGAGATAGCAGCCCGTTCGATTGCAGTCGACTGGACTGCAACCAGCACTGGGGCCCAGACCACGGGCGGCAGCGAGGCGGCGACGGGGCGGCGGCGGCGGTAAAAAAGAAAGCCGGCGAGCCCGACTGGGGCCCGGAGCACGAGCGGCGAAGCGGCAGCGAGGGGGCGCGACGGCGACAACAAGGCAGCGGACCTGACACCGGGGCCCATCGTCTTGAGAGCAGAAAAACGAACCCAGTGCATGTATGTATGTATGTATGTATGTATGCATGCATGCATGCATGCATGCATGTATGTATGTATGTATGTATGTATCTATCTATCTATCTATCTATCTATCTATCTATCTATCAATCTATGTATGTATGTATGTATGTATGTATGTATGTATGTATGTATGTATGTATGTAAATTCGGGGGCGGCACAGAGGGGGGTGATGACTAGGGGGGGTGGATATCATGACCGGGGCCATGATATTTCCCCAGATTTCATGGCGCCTCTTCTTGTTTCATTGCGTTCCTGGACCCCCCCCTGGGCCGCGCACATGCCGCCGGCCATGATTTGCGCCCCCCCTCTTGGACGCCCCCCTCTTGGCCGCCTTGACGGCGCAAGATGGTCCCGAGCTGCCCAATACGGCCCAGGAGGACTCCCAGAGCACTCCCAAGAGGGACCCAAGAGGCCCAAATCATTAAATCCCAGTGAGAAAAAGTATATTGGTTTAGCCTCTACGACTTTTCAGCTTCCGCGGCTTTCAAGACGGTCCAAGAGGCTCCCAAGACTTCCCCAAGACAGCCCGAGACGTTCCCAAGAGGCCCCAGAGCCAGCCCTAGTTAGAGGGCGCCACGACGGCCCAAGGGCCGCCTAAGTCGGCCAAGTTGGCCCCAAGACGGCGCCCAAGACGGTTCAAGATGGCATGTGCATGTGTATGTATATGTGTTTGTATGTATACAAATGTATACATGTGGGTATCGTCCGTTCCAGATCCCTCCGAGCAGTTTTCTTAATATACACGTTTTCGCGAGATTCCCCGAAAGACCCGTCCGCTTCTCAAGTTCCATGAATTTTGAGCGGACAGCCTCCGTCTCCAAGAAAACGCCGTGTACTCAACAGCTTCCGTCTCCAAGGCAACACCCAGTGCTGAACAGGCTCCCGCTTCAAGAGAGAACCCGTAAGGAGTCGATTCAAACCCCGATCCCGAAGCCCATCGCCAGCCCGCCCGCCCGCCGCCCTCCCGCCCGCTTGTTCTTCCGTGTAGCACCCACCCACCACCTTGCACTCTGCAGCCTCCGTCTCCAAGACAACACCATGTAGTCAACAGCTTCCGTCGGCAAGACAACATCCAGTACTCAACAGGCTTCCGCTGCAAGAGAGAACCCTTAATGAGTCGATTGTCATCCCAACCCGCCGCCCGCCCGCCCGCCGCCCGCCCGCCCGCCTTCCGTGTAACATGCACCATCCCGTACTCAACAGCCTCCGTCTCCAAGACGACACCTTGCACTCAACAGCCTCCGTCTCCTAGACAACACTCAGTACTCAACAGGCTCCCGCTGCAAGAGAGAACCCTGAAGGAGTCGACTCAAATCCCGACCCGCCCGCCCGCCCGCCTTCTGTGTAGCATGCGCCGCCCTGTTTTTAACAGCCTCCGTCTTCAAAACAATGCCTTCTAGTCAACAGCCTCCGTCTCCAAGACCACACCCAGTACTCAGCATGCTCCCGCTGCAAGAGAACCCTTCAGGAGTCGATTGACATCCCGACCCGCCCACCCGCCCGCCCGCCCGCCGCCCGCCGGCCCGCCTTCGGTGTAGCATGCACGACCCCGTACTCAACAGCATCCGTCTCCAGGAAAACATTTTGCACTCAACAACGCCCGTTCCTAAGGCAACACCCGGTACTCAACAGGCTTCCGCTGCAAAAGACAATCCTGAAGGAGTCGATTCAAATCCAGAACCGCCCGCCCAACCGTCCGCCGCCCGTCCGCCCTCCCGCCTCTTCCTTCATCACCTCATCATGTTCGTGTCCGTCCACCTCACCCGCCCCACCCGTGTACGTTAAGACAAGACTCTCGCCTTGGGGCAACAAATCGGGGTGTCTTGAATGGACTATACGGATCTACATCTATAGAAATAGATATGTATGTAAAGGCATCTGTTTTCAAATAGATAGACGTATACGTAAACGCCTTTCATACTCGTATATGTACACGCGTATGGGTATGTATAATTTGTATGAGAATACACATTGCTGTATATCAACGCATGCCTATGATAACGTATAAGACAATGCCGACGTATCTGTATGTATACGCATCTGTATATGTATATGTACATGTGTATGGATACGTATATGTATATGTATGTGTATACGTACATGCCTATAGTTATGGTCATGATGGTGATGTAAAGTTAAGTGTATATGTAACTGCCGACGCATATGTATATGTAATTGCATATGGGTATGTATACGTGTATGTGTACGGCTATGTGTATGTACGTTTGTATGTTCGTGTGTATGTATGTGTACGTAGATGTGTGTGTGCATATGTATTTGCATACGTATATGTGTAGGTGTATGTGTATGGAGGCATATATGTTGATGCAGATTCATAATGTGATGTACATACATATACATGTTTATGCATATATATATGTATATATGGATCGGTGACTACATGCGTACGTGCAGTACTCTGTTCATGTATGTGTGTATGATTGTGCATGTGTATATGTATAAACATATGTTTGTGTAAGCATAGATGCACGCGTATGTGTATGTATGTATATATGCATACATGCACGTATGTATGCATGTATGTTTGTATGTATGTACGCACGTGTAGACTTGTATCTATGCACCGGTGTACGCATATGTCTATCTATGTGCATACGTGTATAAGTATATATATGTATGTGTATATGTACGCGCATGTGCGTACATAAACATATATATATATACACAGATATAGCAATGTGCGTGTATGTGTATACGCGTCTGTGTAGGTATATGTATATGCCGCTGTCCATGAACATAAACATGTATATGTGCAGATACATACATATACGTGCGGGTATATATATACATGTGTGTACATACATACATAGAGGTGTGTGTGTATACATGTATATATATATATATATGGGTACAGGGTCGGGGCCCTTAGCCCAGCTGCCCCGAGTCTACATGGGGGCCCTGGGGCCCCAGGGACGTCCCCATGGCCACCTCTAGGGTTCGCAGGCAGCCCTGGAGGCCGCCAAGATAGTCCCAGAGAGCCTGGAGTCGCCAGAAAGTTGCTCCAAGATCCCCAAGAGAGCCTCCAGAAAGCCTGAGAGGCTTCCAAGACGCCCCAAGAGGCCTCGAAGTGCACTCTCTCTATGGCCCCACGAAGAAAGGAAATTCCGAAGGCTTTGAACGAGTTTCGCCATCCCGCCTGTCCGCCCCAAGACGGCCTCAGAGCCTCTTCGGGGGAGGCAGGACGGCCCAAGAGGCGCCCCAGACGGCCCCAAGGCTTCGAAGACGCCCCAGAGAGCCCCCTCAACGGCCCAAGAACAGGCGATCGCAAACATGGATCAAGGAGGCGTGGATTAGCGACGGGTCCCAGTTCCATGGGAAATCGTGGATTTCCGCCGCCGAGCGAGGCGGCACCGGCCGCCTTTTTGGGGAGGGCACCTCCCTCGATCCATGGATTTGGCGACCGCGCGCCAATTCCATGGATCGCTAATCCATGTTTGCGCGCCCCCGACAAGACATTCCCAGGAGGCTCCAGAGAGCCCCCCAAATGCCCGAACAGAGGCGCCCTCTGCCCCGCGAAGCCCCCAGGAGGCCCCAAGAGATTCCCAGGAGGCTTCAAAGACGCCCCAAGAAGCTCCCAAAAGGGTCCCAGAAAGACCTGCGCAGCTCCCGAGAGGCCCCCACCAAGTTCGCAGGAGGCCTCCACGCAGACCCCCAGAAGCCCGCCAGAAGCCCTCCGTCCGCCATGCTCCGGAACAGCGCTTCGGAACACGTGGCCCTGGCTGCACCCCCCGAGACCCCCCTACTGTCGAGGCCCGAGGACGCCCCCATGAGACTTGCAAGACGCTCCAGAACACCTCTTCCTCACACGTGGCCCAGATGACGGTGGTGCTGATGATGATGCTGACTATGACGATGACATGACGATGGCGACGAGCGCGCGCGGGCGCGAGGGCGTCGTCGTCGTCGTCGCCGTCGCCGCCGTCGTCGTCGTCGTCGTCGTCGTCGTCGTCGTCGTCGTCGTCGTCGTCGTCGTCGTTCGTCG